CGAGAAGACGCTGAACGAGGTGGCGAAAGACGGTTGCCTGTTCCTGCTCGACGAGGTCTTCCTGGATCTGGAGGTCAGGAGGCTGGCGCCAGGATTGTTAACGCCGGGACGATTGCGTGTGTCCAGGTTCTGTGGCCCTGTGGTCCGGGGAGAGGGGGGGACTGAGCGCCGCTGTTTGCCAGTGTCCCGGGCGCGTGAAGCCCAGAGTATTATGTGGCTGAAATGATTTTAAGAAGAAAAAAAACATGGAAATTAGATCTGAAGCAGAGTTCAGGTTATTCAGAGATTGAAGGTCAAGCTGTGGCTGTGTTGCAGCGACACCTTGTGTGTGAAAAATAGCTCAGAAAACACAGGACACAGGAGATCCAGATGAATGCATTAGGGGTGTTGTCAGCTCTTGTAAAACCAAGACTCGGTACGACTTAATGTTTCCACACTGCTTTTTTTTCACTCCTCTACTATCTGCCAGGTGTGTCTGTTGGAGTCTCAGTATAAATTGTCTTGTCTTCACAGCAACACCTTAGTGAGCTGTTGACAAGAAAGTGGCTGACAGGATCCAACGCAGTCGACACCATTTGTGTTACTTTAGAGGATTATTTCAATGACTTTTCCAAAATTAAGAAACCGTACAATAAGGTAAGCTGAAATATGTCAGGTGCACTTGTGTCCAAGGTGTTTCGTATGACTTTTTAATTAATGTGACTGCTACTGTTGGGAATGCACATATCTCAGTTTTGCAAAGCAAACGTTTTGTAATACATTTGTAAAACATTTTTGTGTTAATGATATATTGTCTTGCTCTGGTGCTGCTCTTATTGTGGCGTATTTTTGGAAACTATCCTAATTTCTGATCTTGAGTTGCACTGGAACAGCAAGCAGCAGAGGCTGTTAAACTCCACAGATTAAACGATCAATATGATTTAAGCACATCTAAAACAAAAGGTATTATGCAACAAGTGCAGTGAAGTTCTTAAAATTAAAATATAATAATAATTTATACCCCACACTCATATTCTTTGCAAGAACAAGATGGTTTTGATTGTGAATTGTTCATTGTAAAAAGAAAAACTAACTGATTTCAAGAATGATCCACCTAAAATTTTAAGAAACAGAACGGTCTGGAATAGATGAAGTTTTTGTGAACTTTTGTGCTGTAATTATGTAAGCCACTACCTTTATGTATTCACATTTCAGGAGATGACTGTTGAAGCTCATCGCAGAGTCATCATTGAGTACATAAAGGCAATAATGCAAAAGAGGATCTCTTTCAAAAATGCAGAAGAAAGGAAAGAAGGAGCAGATAGGATGATCAAGGAAGCCGAGCAATTCAAATTCCTGTTCAGCAAGCTCTCAGAGGTGCGTTCTGTACAGAGAGACTGGAGTTTCAATTTACACTAATAATTCCCTCCAGCTTCTGCAAATGTGTACACCACATGCAAGTGTTATTCACATTTGTAGAGATAAGAGAGCAATATGTTTCTGGCTCAAGGTTGGAGTGACTGAGAATGTGACAGGACGGGGTGTCTCACACCGTGTGTGTGTAGAGATGTGAGCACACCGTGTGTGTAGAGTATGAGCACACCGTGTGTGTAGAGTATGAGCACACCGTGTGTGTAGAGTATGAGCACACCGTGTGTGTAGAGTATGAGCACACCGTGTGTGTAGAGATGTGAGCTCACTGTGTGTGTAGAGTATGAGCACACCGTGTGTGTAGAG